GACCCGGTACGCCAACGTGGCGAAGCCCAGGTGCAGATAACGTTCATTAATGGAACTGAGATGTCGGATGAGACGTTAACTGTGGCTCCCTCATCGACAGGCTTATGCCTGATTTTGGGAAACGTCACCAGGCCCTGGGAGGATTCGAGCCTTACAGGACATATTGCGAACCTCCGGGCGTTTCAAGTACCAAATTTTGAGAATCAATTGATCTTGCCCATCATGGGCGCAGCCCGGGAGTTGGGGCGCGTGGCAAGGGCTCATCATTGCTGAAGGGGAGCGCTTGAGCACGAAAAGCGCCCACGCCGCCGTGGAAGTGCAGAATCGAAGCGTTCAGCCTCATTCGCGGGTGGAAGAGGCGCACAACAACCTATCGGCGCGCGAATCTGACATTGCGGTCGCCGGCAGCCTTTTTGCAGAACGAGAATGCGCGCTCGCCGGACGCGAACAGCAGTTGGAGGTGACCCGCACGCAACTACAGGAACGAGAGGCACGCGTTAGTGCTAGAGAGGCGCAGCAAGCCGCGTGGGAGGCGGAGACGGCGAGCCGGGAAGAAGTCTCCACCTCTCGGAGAGGTTTGACAGATGTGCCTGTCGCGTGTCACAATATGGCCGAAGATGGCGTTACCAAAAAACCACATTAAAAGCATCGCTTGATGGCTGTGGGCGCGTCGTCACGCACGGCCCAACGAACTCCGGCGCGAGAGAGACGGCAGGTTATTCCTCCAGACGTCTCGGGGCAATTTCGGGTGACCACATTTCTATCCCTCGATGCCTTTGCCCTCCAGCACTTCTCCTTGGACGATCATTCCGCTACAGGAAAAGAGGAACGAATGTTCCGCGCATTCGACGACACCACTTGGGCCCCGCGTGTATGGAACGCGGGCATTTCCGGAGTCTTTTTAGACCTCCGGGGCGCATACAATTATTGGTGCCAGGCGGAGGACCAGGCCCAACTTGTATTTGACAGTTTGGTTGCGTGGATGTGTGCGCTGGAAGCGGAGCGAGGCCTCTCCGATCGCTTTATGAACTTGGGAAGGATCTTACTGCAGGCATTCCGGATGCAGCTCATGATGGCATCCGACCCCGGCATCCCGGTCTTCAACGTTCTCGCCCGTCCTTGCACCGCCGTTCATGAGGCTGACACCTTTGCGAGGGCAATCCAGATTCCCTTGGAACGACGAGGGACGCAAATATCGTTGCGATGCCAGTTATTTCATGTTTATGGACACGACACATCTAAAAGCAACGCCCGAAACGCAACCAGAGGAAGTTACTCGCAGCGCGGACGGCCGTCAAGAAACGGTAAAAGGGGCTGCTTGCTGCCTCTTGTGAAAGCGGACGACGGCAGCTCCATCCATTCCACCACCTCCCGCTATTCCGCAAAGAAGTCGCACCGCGCCGCCGATGCTCCATCCGATGTTTCAAATTGCCCGACGAAATCGTCGGGAAGGGCGGTGGAGCTTATCTGCCAACGACGCTCGACTGTGGTACGAAGAAACACCGATATCACCGCTTTGGACTAGCCACACGAAGAGAGGGAGCGGGGCGGCTCGAGAACTGTGGGCGGCGTCAGCGTGGGAGCGTGGAATGTCCCTAGCGGGGCAATTCACGACTTTTTGCCGCACGCACGAACAGCCGATGAACAAGGAGAGCTGTGCGGCCTTTTTTGGTGGCAATCGAAGTGGCGCCATCGACACCCGACTGCAGCACGCCCGGATGCTGCGGTCCATGTTGGAAATGGATCGAACCCCGCTGGATATGGCGGCTTTGAGGTTACAAAAGTTGCTGTGCGATCGGAGACGAGGCAGACGAGGCAGGCGCGCCCCCTGACAGAGGAAGAGATGAATCAAGTAATCCGCAGCCGGACCGATTGGAAGGAACGTGTTGTCTTACGACTTGCGTGGATAACGGCGAGTCGTTTGTTTGAGATTGCGGCCTTGACTTCCAACAATTTCACACTGAAGCCGGACGGGGCCTTAATTTTGGACTGGTCCGTGGCGCCGAAGACGGCGAGGGCGCGTCCCCACCGCGCCTCGCGGTTCGTGAGGACACGAGGGCAGGACGTGTTCGACATTATAAAGCCATGCAGGACACTTCAAGAAAACGAAAGGCTCACGAATATTACGACTGCCCAAGTCGAACGAGCCCTGGTTCCTTGGAATGCCACGGCGCATTCCACAAAAAAGGGTGTGTTGAGGCACGCTGCTCCAATCGTGGAGACATACAATTTGGACCCACACGTAATCTCGCAGTTGGCGAAGCACGTCAATCCGTTCGACCTTCCCAGAATACTGTTTGATATTTGTGGAGGTACACCACACTGCTGACCCCAGGTGTTGGCACTGGTCGCATTGATGTGAAGGGAGAAACGGCGGAAGGGCAAGAACCCTGGCTGAGAGCAGAGGAGTGTTTTTCCATGATTTTTATCACAATCATGCGTCTACAATAACAAGACGCGCGACAAGGACGCGTCTGGCCACTCCACAAGATGAGAACGCTATCCCGCTGCAGCAGATCAACGTGCTCGTATTGAACTTAGAGTGGATCATGAGCCGGTTGAAACCGGCCACCTTGGAGAGGCTCATGCAAGTTTGGGGACTCGTCGGGCGGTCTCCTTTCCCTCCGTCCTCCTCCGGTAAGGCGCGCGAAGGCTTACGGAGGATTTCAGCGGCTGGCGCGCGATTGCTGAAGGAAGCGGGAATAATCGAGGACGCTTTTTCTGCAAGAACAGGCGGATGGATAATACCTTTCTCAGTTGTGGAGGAGAAAACCACCGGTTTACGACGACGATGGATTGCGTGGCCACGCGACAAGAACAGAGACGACCCTTACGAGGCGAATGTTCCTCTTTTACACATTTCCCATTAGTTGCCGCCTGTGATGGCTGAGGCCGCTTCCTGCCTGGACTTAAAGGCATCCTTTTTGCAAGTCTCTTTACCGCGGGAGACTCGGCATCACTTTCGATGCCGCGTGGAGGACGGCACGCTGGTGGAGCTGACACGGCTCCCAATGGGATACAAGGCCAGCCAAGAAACTCTCCGGATTATTATTATTATTAGCAGTTGCCGAGGCGACGGTGGCTCACTCCCTCTGGGCTGCACCTCCATCGGTGTGCGACGACGTTTGGATCGATAATATACGCATTGCAGGGTCGAAAAGCGATGCGACATTGTGGGAAGCCCAAGTGCTTCGTAATGCGGCCGGCTGTCACGCCACGATGGAGGAGGACCGCAAATCGGGCGCCACGCGGTACACCTTCCTGTGGGTGCGGTTTGATCACACTCGCCGTGCGGTATTCCTGAGTGAGAAGTTTGTCCGCTCTGTACGCGCCATGCCGGCGCTTAATTCTTTAACCATCGCGGCAATGGAGGTTATGGCGCTACGCCTTTTGTACGTGGCTGCCGTTTTTTGCACGCGTTTATGCGAATACTACTTTTTTATCAAGGCAGTGCGACGACGATTATCGGCAGTTAACCGGGGAATTGTGCGGGAGACATCCCCGGCGAGCCTTCCACCAGGAGCGGCTGGTTTGGGCGAGAGACTACGACACATCATCGAGAATATAATCGTAGGCGAATGTTCAAGCTCAGGGAGAAGGCATCAGCCGCCATCATCACGGATGCGTCGCTCCTGGGATGGGGAGCCGTTTTCATTCCAGATTCAAGCAATGTTAAAACCGCCGGAGGAAAATGGAGGAGGAGTTCTTTTCTTATCATGCAGGCCGAGGTGCGCGCGGTGCTCTTAGCCTTATCGGCCTTTCCCCGCCGCCTTGCCACCCACTATGGACGTTTGGGTGGACAATACTTCGCCGCAAGGAGCGGCGAATAAAGGCAGCTCATAATCGCACGCCATGACGTGGGGGCTGCAACGGACATATGAGTTTTTGGACTCGCACGGAGTGCGGGCAACTTTTGCCTACGTGCGGTCCGCAGAAAACCCCGCAGACGGCATATCACGCGGTCGTGTTTTTGCACTTCAGGACTTTGTGAAGGGGTGGAACTTGCGGAGGGGATCGGCGGGGTCCTGCGGCTGGAGGACCAAAAAGACTGCCGCTTTGTAAGTAATAATATTTAAATCCTAGCTGAGTACAAAAGATCACTTTAGCGCTCAAAGGAATATATATATTTAATCAGAAGAAAACATTGAGGCAATTAAATGCCTCTACATTAATCCCCTCTTTTTCCCCTATCTTGTTTGGTTTATATAGATAATTTTAGGATCCGGCCAGTGGCCCAGAAGATTATTCGGGCTTGTTATTTTACTGATTATTGGCAAAAACGGATGATTGGGACACCGCGATTGACCGTGGAGGATGCGTAACAAGTGTGTGTTTCACGCCCTCCACTGCAGCGCCCTCTCCTGGGGCCGGGGCACTTCTTCACATCCCTACTTATTGGGCGGATGAGCTCGACGATGGTGGCTGGCGTGCGGCCATGGGAGTTATTTGAGAGTAGTCAATGCCAAAGAAGAAACGGCCACTGCACGGCTTTGCGTTTTTTGTGTGGGTTGCGGCGCCTCCACGTCCTATTGAAATGATGGGGTACTTACTGTATTTTTATTTTGCTTGCGCTGCGCAGCTTCCCTTTCTTGGTCACGGTGACTGCGTGCTCGTCGCACGCGCCGCATCGTCCGCTGTTGTTCCCTCGTTGTGTCGGTGGGGGAGTGGGCGAGCGACGGCTTTGGTGGAGTGGCGCCCTAGTGGGAGAGGGAAGGCACCGACCGCTGCTGAATGCGACAGTCTTTGCCGCAGGCGATCTGGAGGGATGACGTTGTTGCTGCAAACAACTGAGATGGACGAGGGCCGCACTGCGTCTCTGTCCCCTCTCTACATCATTGCAGTTTTCTGCAGACACACGCACCGCACGGCGGCGACGCGACCACCATCCGGGCGGCTGCGAGCCAATCGAACTGTGCAATTGGTTTGGGCTCTTGTTTTCTGTGACTGAGTTCTGCCGCCGTGCTTCTTCATCCCTTCTGTGTGCAATGCCGTCTGCACGTATGGTGCCGCTGTGTGTTGTGCAATACCGACCCACGTGAGCGAAAAACGACACTCTGACAGCTGGCAACTGGCGAATCCTCCACCCCTATTCCGCGTCAGCACTTTATTTTTTTACGCGCTCGATGGCTGTCGGTTGCGACGCCGCCATGTGAATCTGTCTCGGCTCTTGTGTGTCTTTCACTGCATCGGGACTGTTCTGTGATGTAGCCATTCGGCAACAGGAGCGGTGCCAATGGTCATGTGCCTCCTCTTCGGGATCGCACCACTCGGCATGGTGGTTGTATGGAGCTGCGCGGGCGGTGGGAGGGCGATGGTGTCACTGGCGTGATTGTGGCGTCTGTGCTTTTTTGTGTCGGTGGCTGTGCATTGGTGGGGACTGTCTGTGGCTGGATGCTTCTGCGTGCCAATTTCTTTATTTGCTGTTGTTTCTGCCCTCCTTTCCTCCGATCAAGCAGATAGAGGTACTTTTGATTGACCACCACAACTATCGTTTCAAGCTATTAGGGATTAATTGCACTATTAGGATAAGCAGTAGTGGGTTAACGATATATAGGAATTCTGTTACTGGATTTGCCATTTGTAGAAAGGGATTTGCTAAGCAGGAGTTACGGTCGACTGGGCGAGTGCGACACACCACGGCAGCCCTGTTGATATCTGTTTGGGTCTGTGGATGTGGTCTGCGGTGGGTGCGTATCCGTGCAGCCGGCACCGTGTACGGCACATGGCCATTACGGCTGTGCGTGTGGCGCTGCTCTTTTTGTTGACGCTTGTGGTTGCGGCGGCGGCGTGGATGCCCGCGGTGCGTGCGGTGGTGTTGCGACTGCGGGGCGGCACGGTGGACAGAGCCATCACGGTTGGCCGCGCCGTGGACACGGTGCTGATGGACGGCGTGTGCATGACGAACGGCGTGGCTGTGGTGTTCGACGTGGCGGCGATGCTTCCCGGCCCGCTGCGCATCGAACTGAGGAACTGCGTGTGCTACGGCGGTGCGCAGATCTACGTGCGGGGCTACAGCGGCGAGCCGGCGAGTGACCGGAGCCTGGAGGTGAGCGTGAGCGGGCTGTCCGGCGGCTACTGCTCGCTTGTGTTTGTGCACAACCTGCCGGCACACACGAACGTGACGGTCCGTGACTCGACGATTGTGACGGCGGGGCCGATGCGCTACTCGCAGCTGAGCGGACTGACGGACGCTGTGGCGTCGCCGCTTGTGCTGCACGCGACCTCGCTGTTGCAGTCGCAGCTGCGTGTGAGCAACACTGTGCTGAGGTCGTTGCACGCGGGCGGGTCTGCGGTGTACGTTGGCGGCGGCGTGGACCTGCTGTCGAGCGCGGTGGTGCTTGACGGCGTGTTGCTGGAGGCGTCGGGCGGTTCGACCGCTTCCGCGATGCATGTGGCGTCCTCGTCGCGTCTCAGTCTGCGGGGCCACTCGGTGTTCTCCGTGACGAACGTGTCGGTTGTGAGCAGCGGCGGCGGCATTGTGCTTGGAGAGCGCCTCGCGGTGTCTGATTCGGTGCTGCGCTTCGTGGACGTCGAGGGGTCTGCTGCGTCGTCGCTGGTGCGCTGCGACGGTGGGACGATCGGTGGCGGCGGGTGGCTGGAGCTGCGCGACGTGTGGGCGGTGGGCGAGGCGTCGTCTGTGGCGTCGCTGTCGGGTGTGACGCTGAGCGGCGGCGCCGTGTCGATTGCGCGCTGCGCTGCCACTGGCGTTACGCTTGTCTCCGGGCCGACGATCACGAGCGGCGCCGTGTCGGTGCAGTGCAACCGTGCCGGCGGCCGGGTGCTGCAGAGCGGCGGCGACTACCGCATGGCCGGCCTGCCCTCCGTGAGCGTGGTGCCTTGCGACGGCTGTGCGGCTGCGCTGGCGTGCTTTGATGCGCTGAGGGCGTCGTTCTCTGACTGCGTGTGCAGCTGCCTTGCCGGCGGCGTGGGCGAGGCGTGCCTGCCGTTCGACGTGCCGCCTGCGAGGGCCGGTGGTGGTGCGCCGGACTGCGTGAGTGGCGTGACGCTGACGGAGTCCGTGACGGTTGGCGGCGGGCGTGCGACGGCGTGCTTCGACTCGGTGGTGTTCAGCGGACCAATCACTGTGGCGGTGGACCTGCGCTCGATGGACGCGTTCGCTGACGCGCTGAACGTGACGCTGCGCGACTGCGTGCTTGCGGGTGGCGCACAGCTGCGGATTGGTGGCCTCAGCGAGAGCACGGCGCTTTCGAAGCCCCACGCCCTCGTCAACATGACGAATGTGACGTCGATGGAGGGCACGATTGTGCTGCATGGCGTGATGCCGCTGCACTCGAGTGTGCTTCTGGCGAACTCGACGCTGCGCGCGACGGTTGGCGGGTCGCAGTACGTGCCGACGACCCCTGGCCACGAGAGATCCCGGTACGGCCCCGCGCTAGTCCTGGACGGTTTCCGTCTGCTGTCGACGCGGTTTGTCATGACGCGGTCGACGCTGGCGTGTGGCGGGGGCTCGTGCGCTGCTATCCTCGTGGAGCGCAGCCTCGTCGTGAACCTGTCCAGCGTCTTCTACATGGACAACTGCGCTGTCCTGTCGCGGACGCACGTGATGTACGCCCTTGCGTCGGATTTGCGTGTCAGCGGCGGCTCTGTGTTCTCCATACAGAACAGCTTGTGGAGTGCGCCGAGCATTGAAATCTACAAAGGCGCGTATTTATTCAAGGATTTTGTTGTGGATGGCGGCAGCGTGCTGCAGATTTTGTCCAGCACTTTCCGTCTCGGCTTCGCCATGCTCATGGCAAACTCGCTGACTGTGACTGGCGGCAGCTGGCTGGTGCATCGCGACAGCGAGTTTCGCACCGCCTACGTCGTGTACGTGGTTGCCTACGACGGCGTGACGTTCTGCGATCAGAGTGTGTGGTCGATACTTGACAACAAGTTCACGTACGGCTCGTACTTGTCATCAACTGTAAGTATGACAAGCAACTGGTCACCACCATCCGACACGCGCCCGACCATCTACGGCGTGTGCAACGAGGCAAGGGGCTCACCTGTGACGGATTACCAAGAAGAGCTCAATATTGGGACGCCCGTGACGGTGTTGGACTGTGGCGCGTGCACCGTGGACGCCGTGTGCTTCGCTGCGAGGACGAGCAGCATCAGCGGCTGTGAGTGTGTGTGCGCTGCTGGCGGCCACGGCGAAACGTGTCTGCCAGCAGCGGTTCCGGACGGCCTTGGACCGCTCCCGCTCCTCGATGCGAATGACACGGAGGTCCGCTGCGTGCACGGTGGCAGCATCAGCTCTTTGGACGATCCTGATCCCGGTGTGCGTGGTCTGTGCTTTGTCAGCGTGACCTTCACCACCGCGATCGTGCTGGACCTGTTGCATTTTGACGCGCCACAACAGACACTCAACATCACGCTGCTGCAGTGCGTTCTCGTAGGCCTGTCGATCAGGGGAGTGGTGCGAGAGTGCACGTGAACGTGACATCCTCGATGCTGGATTCTGGTGAGTTGGCGTTTGAGGGTGACTTTGGCACGAGCTCCCAGATACTGGTGGCGGGCAGCTCGCTGGTGACGATGTCGAGCCACGCCATTTTATTTTTAAAGGTTTTTTTTTGGGTGAACTCGACGCTGCTGCTGCTTGACAACCGCATCGAGGGGAATCGGTACGCAATTCATTTCAGCATTGCTGCTGTTGTTGATGGTGGCGGGATCATTGTGAAGGGAAATACGCTGAGTACGATAGAGAATGACGGTGAGGAATCATCCGTTTGCGTTACTTCTGTTGATGTGAGGAACGGCGGCTACTTTGACGTCGAGAACAACACGATGAACTCGGTCAATGGCGTTATTCTTTTTGGGGATACCGCCGTGAGCTCCGCGGGGCTGCTGCGAGTGGCGGACTGCACCTTCGCTGGCGTGCCTGATTTTTTTGATCCTGCGCTTGTGTATTTGTCTGGCTCGGTGACCCTCGAGGGCGGTGCGCAGTGGCGTGTGGAGGGCAACAACGTAAGTGCCGTCTCAATAATAGGTATGTTGCGTCCCCAGCACAAAATTCAGCTGTCAGACAGCGGCACCACTGTGGTGCTTGCAAACAACCGTCAGGTGGAGGGAAGTGCAGTCTTTGCCAAACTTCTTCCACCGAACACGATTGTGACATCACCCGCGCACTTTGTGGTTGGGTGCAACTTGCAGGGCGGTGAGGAGGTGTCGTACGGCGGTGTATTTCCGGAGGCAGTGTTGTTGTTCGGGTGCGGCACATGCAACGACGACGCGGCGTGCTACATGCCCGGGACGGAGTCGGTGGACCGCGGCTCGTGCTCGTGCAGCTGCAAGGACGGATGGCATGGCGCGTCGTGTCTTCCCTTCGAGGTGCCCGACACTTTTTTGCCGCCCTTGCCGGAGAGAGCCGTCGACGGCGACACGAGCTGCGTGGTGAACCAGACGCTGACGAGACTTAAACTGAACATGTGGAAGACGCACCACTGCTACGTGGGTGTGACATTCAGCGGTGTGGGTGCTACGCTGACGTTTTCCTTTGACAGTATGCCGCTGCATCTCCCCATCAACATCACGCTCACTGGGTGCACATTCCGTGACGGTGCCGCGCTGCAGTTTGTTGGAGGTGTTGAGGCGGCCGAGTCAGCTGGCATCCTGATCCGCGTGAGCCGGACGGTGATGCGGTCCTCCGCTGTTGCTTTTGCACTTGCCTTCCCGCAGCACTGCGACATTGCCGTCACGGAGGTTGATGCGGTGCAGTCTTCTGAGGTCCATCTGCTTGACGCAGTGAACAACAAGCTGAGCGTATTTTTACTGAAGAACGTCTTGTTGAGTGCGTCGACGCTGCTGGTCAGCAACGTAAATGCGCATGCAACGAAGCGTGATGCGTTTGGTTTGTACTCGACCGGGACGCTGACGCTGGTGGGTGGCAGCTCGCTGTACGCGCGGTACTGCAGCTTCGAGGAATACACACACTTTTTTTACTTGGATATCCTCAGTGTCAGTGACCGCTCTGTTTTTGCGCTGCTCAACAATACAATGGCCTCCGGAACGAGCCTATTGTATCAGCACTCCCGATTCAGCGTGTCGGATCACAGCGTGCTGCGCGTGGTG